TGAAGGGGAAAGATCAGGGCTGTAAGGTGGATGGGGTAAGGTGTTCGATGACATTCTCATCGGATAGCCCTACTACTTTTGATGAATGAACAGATTCACAGTTGTGATGGAAAATCTTTCTTCGTGCCAATTTCTTGGTATTTTTCTCACCAAGGTAGTTTTCAATGATGAGCCACCCTTCAAGAAAATCTATCAAGATTACCCACTTGGGATCCCCAGAACAGTTGCCATAACCTTCTGCACTGACTTCTGTGCCTCCAATTTGACTGACACAGAAAACCCCCTCTGAAGCCACTGTTTTATTTAGATTTTTGTTTGTTTGAAGGTACCCTAACAAGACTACGACAAATGTATTTCTGAGTGAGTTTGTCTGAAGTCATCCTTGGATCACAGAAACATGTTTGAACACATTTTGTTTGAAATAAACCCATGTAAGTCCTGGTGTGGCATTGTAAGATAAGCATTTATCTGATCCTACAAGCCCACTAGATGCTCCTTGGAAACCCTATACAGGGTTGCTACAAGTCGGAACAAACTCGATGGCACATTCATCAATCTGTAGAGCAAAAAACTCTTCCAACCGCATAGTTCCTATTCTGCTTCAGCCCAGTGTCTCATGCAAGGAATGGGCTCTGTAATTTCAGATCTTTTCGTTTTGGAGAAAAGCCAGAACCTGGCTTTATTTATTTATTTATTTTTTTGGCAAAGCCTCTCATTTTTAATCACTAGTTAAATTAGAAATATCAACAACAGCAATCAATGTAGCCTGGGCCACACCAGCCCCCTCTGCGGGCTGCATCAGTCATCTATCTGTTCAAGATCCATATTCATAAGTAAGGCTCTTTTCTGTCATTTTCTTCACTCTTTGTCAAAGTTTAATATTAGAAATATAGGTTTCACAAAATGAATTTGGCAGACTTTCATCTTTCTGATGCTCTAGAATCAGGACAAAAACATAGAAAATAATATTTTGCTTCTTTAGAATCTTTAAAAAAATTCTATAAAACTATCTGGCAGCAGTTTTTTCAGAACAAAGTCTGATTTCTTTAAGCTTTTTTCCATGATTATGTTCTCCCCACGATATTTGCTTGTTACTGAATCACATTTTTTTTGGCTTTTATTTCTTCCCAGAGAGTTAGTTACCTATTGTATTGAATCTTTTTTTTGTTGTTGTTTTTAAGTGCCATCGAGTCATTTCCAACTCATAGAGACCCTATATAGGGTTTCCATTCAAAGTGCTCTTGGGTTTGAATTGCTGATGGTTTTGAACTGCTGGCCTTGTGGTTAGCAGTCTAGTGCTTATCCTGCAGTGCCACACCAGGACCCCACTGTACTGAATATATTAGTATAATATCATTATTGTTGTTGTTAAGTGCTGTTGAGTTGGTTTGGACTCATAGCGACCCAGTATGTTTCAAAGAGCAACTGGTGACTTTGAACTGCCAACCTTGTGGTTCAAACCGACCTGTGGTCCTGTGCTTATCCTACAGCGCCACACCAGGACTCCATGTGTAGTATCATTGTTGTTGTTGTTGTGAAGTGCTGTTGAGTTGGTTCTGACCCATCACAACCCTGTATAGGGCTTCCAAGGAGCAGCTGGTGAGCTTGAACTGCTGACCTTGCAGTTCAAATGGCTTTGCAGTCTGGTGCATGAGGTTCTGCAATTATAAAGTATCCTTTTGCATTGAAAATTTTATGTATCCATTATATTCATTTGGCTTAAGGAGCCCTGATGATGCAGCAGTTAAAGCACTTGACTGCAAACCAAAAGTTTGGCAGTTTGAACTCACTAGACCCTCCTCAGGAGAATGACGTGGCAGTCAGCTTTCATATGAAGATTCACAGCCTTGGAAGCCCTGTGTTCCACTCTGATCTATAGGGTTGCTGAGGGTCTAAAGCCACTCAGTGACAGTGGGTTTTGGTTTTGGTGTGAGATCTTGTTTTTATTGAATGCACGTGCCATACGTTTTTCTATTTTAATGCTTCTTCCTCTTTTTCTTTCTCCACTTCCTTTTCTGTCTCCTTTTTTTCTGAACTACACCAGTTTTGAGATTTAGTTGGGTAATGCTAGTTTTTATTTTTGAAACAACTGATTCCTCATATGTATCATTCCTTGGGATTACTATTTGTGACTCCCCTTCCTCCACTTCCCCCATTTTGCTTACTAAAAGGCTATAACAATCTTCTTCCTTTCTAATATTCAGTAAGACATGTTTAAGACTAAGAACTTTTTCTCCACTAGTACTCCATACAATTTACAGTGACTTGTATAGGATGTGAATTGTAGTTCTATTTTAACATCCTTACAGTATTGTACAACCCCAACCTCTATTTAATTCTAGAACATTTTCATTTCAAAGAGAAACCTGATATTCTTTAGCAGGAAATACCTTCCCCTCTACCACTTTGCCCTTTGACAATCACTCATCTTTCTGCCTTTGTAGATCATCCTCTTTTGAATATTTCATATAGATGTTGCGTCACTGTTAAGTGCTGTTGAGTCAGTTTAGATTCACAACAACCCTGTTCAGGGTTGTTGGTGAGTTTGAGCCACCAACCTTGTGGTTCAATTCGACTTTGCGGTTGAGTGTTGATCCTACAGCTCCACATACGGCCTTTTTGGTCTGGGTTCTTTCTCCTACTTTTTAAGGTTCTTCATTGCTTTTATGGCTGATTAATATTCCATTTATGGCTATACCATATTTTGTTTCTTTACTCTTCACTTGATGGCATTTGGGTTTGTCTACCTTTTAGCTATTATGAATAATACTGCTATAAACATTTATGTACAAGTCTTTATGTGGCAATATGTTTTCATTTCTCTTGGGTATATTATATCTAGGAGTAGAATTTCTAATCATTTGGTAACTCCTTGTTTAACTTTTTGATGAACTTTCAAACTTTTCTCAAGAATTCAATTTTTTTTTCTTTTTAAAATGTTATTTATTTTGTTGTTAAGAAATGTGTAGCAAAGCACATACCATTTAACAATTTCTATATGTACAATCCAGTGATGTTGATTATATTTTTCAAGTTGTCCAGCTATTCTTAACCTCCTTACCTGAGTTATTCCTCTTTCAGTCACATAAACTCAATGCCTTCTAAGGCTCCTATCCAATATTTTGAATTGCTGTGATTTTCATTCCATATAGATAGCTATTAAAAGAGTATAATGCTGAATGCGGACAGTGCTAGGTAAGCTAAACTAGTGTTTGGTTTTAAGAAGGCTATAGGGGATAGTCTTGGCATGAGGTTTAAAGATGATTTCAGGATTTCATTCCATCCATGGTTCCAGCAAGACTAGACTCCATGAGAATTTGAAATTCTCTTCTACATTCCCCCACCCTTTTGATCAGGATGCTCCTATGGAGTCAGTTATGGTAGCCGGGCACCATCCAGTTCCTTTGGTCTCATGTCAAAGAAGGCACATGAAGTTACTTTTAAATACAGATTTGATAATGTCACATACATTTTTATATATAGTGCTTTTATTTTTGTTGTTTTATAACGAGTCTTGATTTGTATTTTTGTATTGTGTTTTGTTGCATCACATTATTAAAAGACTTTCCCCTGTAATATCAAATTTTATTTACTATAAATAATTTTTAGATTTATTTTGATTTCTTTTAAATTATTTTCAGTTTCATTTTTAGTGTTTAGCTTAATGTCCTTCCTTTGTGACAGAGAAGTTTACTTTATTTAAAAAAAAAAAAAAAAAGAACACTTGAAAAATCATCTTTCCTCTAAAAGGTGTGTGTCATTTTCTTAGTTCACTTTAGACAGATATAAATGTGTGACCCGTTCTATTTTTCTGGTAGTGATGGTGTTGTTATTAAGTGCCATTGAGTCAGTCCTGACTCATAGTGACCCTCTATAGGATTTCTGAGGAGTGGCTTGTGGGTTTGAACCACCGACCTTGCAGTTAGCAACAGTCCAGTGTTTATCTTACAATGCCACACCAGAACTCCACCCTGGAGTGTAAGTTCTGCCCATTTGTGCTGAAGTTATTGTCAGCTCTAACCACTTTGAATTCTGGTCTGAAAAAGTCTGATACTGTCCATCACCAGGGCCATAAATGGGCCTTCTGAGTGACACAAACAATTAACACTTGCCAACTAACTTAAAGATTGGCAGTTAGAATTCATTCAGAGGTTCCATGGAAGAAAGCCCTGGCAATCTTCATCTGAAAGGTCACAGCCATTGAAAATCCTCTGCTCAGTTCCACTCCAAAAGAAATGAATTCCCCATGAGCCAGAATCGACATGATGACAACTGGAGGTGATGGTAGGACCATTCTCATCATCAGCATAATATAATGTATACAGAGATGTTATTATTATATGACATTGAGTCAATCCCAATTCATAGCGACCCCTTGTGACAGAAAAGAACTGTCCCATAGGGCTTTTTTTTTTCACCCTTTCTGATTTTAAATAATTTCTTATCCCCTTGTTCTGTTCAAATGACTGCCCACTGGTCTATGTATAGCTTCCTCAAGAGCACACCATAGGGCTTTGTAGGCTGTTATCTTTATGGGAACAGTCTTTCTCCTATAGAGCTGCTCGGTGGTGTCCAAGTACCAACCTTTTGATGAGCACCTAAGCGGTTAAGTGTTGTACTATCAGGTCTCTAACAGAGGCTATTATTACCATCCCAGTTACAAGACACAAAGGTACAGAGAGGTTTTACAACTTGTATGTGGTGAAGCTGGGATTTGAACCTAAACTTCCAGGCACAGCCTATCCTCTTAACCAGAACCTCATGGTACACAAAAGATAACATCCTTTCTCCCTTAACAATAATTGTTCCCAGGGCTCTTTCAAGTGCTCCAATATGCTCCTAGCCCCTTCTCACATTTCTGCGACAACACCCTTGCTTAGTGCTCATTGATAGTACAGAAATTGTTGGAACTGATCATTGCTACACATGGCCTGGATTTGGGAGCTATTCCCAGTGCAGAAGACTGTGTCCCTCCCCTGAGGAAGGGAGGTGGTAGGTCCATGGATTTGTATTTTTCAGGCTGCTCTACCCTGCAAGGTCCCAGTGCAGTGAGGGGGCCAAAGGGAGGCTCTTTGACTGTGCAGTGCCAGTACGGCCCAGGGTATCAGACCTACATCAAGTGGTGGTGTCAAGGAGCTGAATGGAGTTCTTGCAAAATAGTTGTGAAAACCACTGGATCAGAGCAAGAGGTGAAGAATGGACATGCGTCCATCAGGGACAATCATAAAAACCGCATATTCACTGTGACCATGGAGAACCTCAAGGAAGACGATGAGGACACCTACTGGTATGGGATTGAGAGAATTGGAGTTGACCTCGGAGAGAAGGTTAAGGTGTCAATTGACCCAGGTAAGAGTGTGTGCATGTGCGGATATGGTTTTAGTGCTTGCTCTGTCTTGATTGACTCAACGGTGGGCAGACCAAAGGGTGGTCAATCCCTGGGGTGTCACTGAACCCCATTGTCTGTTGCTTGAGGTTGGGAGGGCTCCTCTAGGATGGAATGTGAGATTTTCTGGGCACATTTTCTTCTTTGCACAGTGAAGTCTCTTGCCCATAAAAGGCAAGGCCATAGTTGCCAGTTTGAACTCATGGGACAAAATGGTCTCTTCTCTAGGACCTAGAGACCCCAACCCCTGCTAAAGCTTTCTTGGGATCCTGGTGCCCAGGTATGAATGCTCTTTGTGGAGTTCTGGACTGGGATTTCATGGCCTCTTCCCAACTCCCATCCCATAGCCAACCTTAGGGGAGACTGAGGCTCAGCATAGTTTGGTTGATGTGTTCTAATTCTGAGGTCTAGAAAAGGCCCCACAGTCCAATGGCTGTCCTCCTGGTGCCTGAAATCCCACTGCTCACCATTTATGCATTTGGACCTAACAATATTCTCTTCCTAAATTCTTTTAGAAGACAAATACTCCTGGGAAGGCCAGCTCAGGGGTCCCAGTGCCTTGGCTTTATCTGTTGAGCTGTACTTCTTGCTGACCCTTGGATGGGCAGCATGGGCTCTTGGGACATGTGGGGCACCAGTTAGCAAAGCATCAACTGCACCTGGCCCTATGGCTACAATTTGCAAAGCACAGTCCTGTACATCCTCTCACTCAATCCTCACCTCACTGGCAAAGTGGATAACCACATGCCAGAGGCTTAGTAACTTGCCCAAAGGATCTTCTTAATATTGTGCTCTTGTTAGAACTAGTTCTGACCTTAGGGGTCATAGATGGAAAGTTCATGGTAGCAGCACTGAGCAAGTTGCCATTCCACCCTGTCCTTGCTGGATAAATAAGATGGCGGTGAGGGAAGCATGGGCTAAGACAGTCATAAGCAGTGAAAGTGCTTTAAATCCAGATGAATTCAGGTTACCCTTGTCCTGAGCCTCTTCTTGGGAGGACCCTTTCAACCCTCCCAAGGGCTGATCAAGACCCTCTCTGTACCTATGTCCAGCCCCACCTGCTTCTGAGGCTCTTGAGGCTCCTGGAAGCTGGGGAGATATGAGAGATCCAGGCTGCAGCCCACTCCTCACAGTCCTGCTCCAGGGTCCTCAGGCCAAGGCAGCCCTGTCCCCAGACTCAGAGCCATGTGTAGGACTGTGTAGGTTAGCAGTTAGAGAGTTTAGTAATCTGCTCTGTGTGCCAAGCACCAACTACAGTGTGGACAACTACCACCTTCACCACCACCACCACATTTACAGCGCCAACCATCCCAGAAGAGACCACAAGCTTCCCTCCTATCAACAGCCACCTTTCTGATAGCAGGTAAGCCAGCTAAGATGCTGTTGTTCCCTGTGACCCATTTGTCCTAAACTGCTCCAATGGGGGAACCCTTTGCCATCATCCCAGGTTCCTGTGGGAGTTTGGGCTCAGACCCTCAACTTCTTTTGGGAGGATGAGGGGTTCAGAGACATTTGCTTCTAGCCCCTAAAGACCCCTATCCTGGATTTTAGTGCAGTTGGTAGACTTGTGGGGTGGTTTGTTCATGCATTGATTCATCTTTACCAAGGTAACATCTCCCTGGCCAGCACTGTATTGGGTACAGTGTTCCTTGATGTATGTTTTTCTCCTGTGTATGTTTTTATTGTCTGTTCTGCTCTTTTTATAAGTCAGAAGTGATTAGATTTAGAACCCAAACTATAGGGTTGGATTGAATTAACATAACAAAGAAAGCCCTAGTTCCAAAGAGGATCATATTTACTGGTATGTTGTTGTTGTTGTTAGGTGCCATCGAGGCTTGTGTCCAAACAAATACTGCCTGGTCTGTGCTGTTCTCACAGTTGTCATGTTTGAGCACATTTTTTGCAGCCACTGTGTCCACCCATCTTGTGGAGGGTTTTCCTTTTTTTTTTGCTGACCCTTTATTTTACCAAGCATGAGATCTTTTTCTAAGGACTGATCGCTCCTGATAATACATCCAAAGGATGTGAGATGAAGTGTCACCATTCTCATTTCTAAGGAACATTTTGGCTGTTCTTCCAAGTTTTTCTGATAGTCCATGGTATACTCAATATTCTTTACCACTCCCATAATTCAAATGCATCAATTCTTCTTCGCTTTACCTTTTTCATTGTCCAACTTTCATATGCATTCTACTGAATTTAAAGACCACCTCGAGATCAAGTTTGATGCATTAGATGTGAATGACTAAAGACCAGAAGAGCTGTGAGTGACATAAAAAAAGTTATATATGAAGAAAACAAAAATCATCAAAAATCCAGGAAAGAAGGAAAAGACCAAAATGGTTGTCAGAAGTAAAACTTGCTTCTTGAGTATAGAGAAGCTAAAGTAACTAGAAAAAATGAGGAAGTAAAAAAGGTGAACAGAAAAATTTAAAGGCAGCTCACGAAAACAAAGTAAAGTATTAGACTGAAACATGCAAAAACCTGAATTTAGAAAACCGAAAGAGGACATGCATAGTATTTGTCAAACTAAAAAAACTGAAGAAAAATCTCAAGTCTGGGATTGCAATACTGAAGGATTCTATGGGCAAAATATTGAATGATGCAGGAAGCATCAAAAGAAGTGGAAGAAAAAAAAAAAAAAGAAGTGGAAGGAATATACTGAGTCATTATATCAAAAAGAATTGGTCAATGTTCAACCATTTGAAGAGGTAGCATATGATCAAGAATCGATGGTAGTGAAGGAAGAAGTCCAAGCTGCAATGAGTCATTGGCAAAAAACAAGGCTCAGAAGAGATGGGGATAAGATTCTTATAATTCAATAGTGAGTAATTGTTATCATGACTAATTGTGACTGTCACAAATGTAAAGGTAGAAGTTTTGTAACAAAAACTGGGGAGTAGTTAATCTTACAGCCCAGAAACAGAGGACCCTAGGACCATCAAGGGAGAAGAGTACAAGCAGAATGTGGGAGCTTATCCAGAGAAGCAGCGACACCAGAGATGGAGGCAGAGATGGGGACACGGAGAGAGGGAGCAGCTGAGGACTCTCGATTCATGGAAAGAGAGGGACTGAGAGCTGGAGGCCAGGAGGCAGACTTGCAAAATGTGCCCTTTGGTGGTGTAAATTATTATATATGCCTAAGTGGTGTTTTTTTTTAAGAGCTAAAATGAATAGAGAGAAATACTATTAACTGATGGTACATGAAGGGGATTATAATCATTGTAATGAAACAAGGTGTATGATTTGTTGAATGTAAAACTGATGATCTGCCCTGTAAACTTCCACTCAATTCACAATAAAAACTTAAAAACAAGGCTACAGGAATTGATGGAATACAAATTGAAATGTTTCATTAAACTGATGCAGCACTGGAAGTGCTCACTTGTCTATGCCAAAAAATTTGGAAGAGAGCTACCTGGTCAAGAGATTGGAAAAGATCCACATTTGTCCCCATTCCAAAGAAAGGTGACCTACCAGAATGGAAAAAATCAATGAAAAAATCATTAACATCACATGCAATTAAAGTTTTCTGAAGATAAAAAATGGTTGTAGCAGTACGCTGACAAGGTGGTGGTGGTCGTGGTGGTTATGTGCCATGGAGTAGGAACGGACTCATAACAACCCTGTCCAGGGTTTCCAAGGCTGTAAATCTTTATAGGAGCAGAAGACCTCATCTTTCTCCCACGGAACAGCTGGTAGTTTCAAACTGTTGACCTTAAGGTTTACAGCCCAATTCATACACTGACAGGAAGCTACCAGAAATTCAAGCTGGATTCAGAAGAGGACATGGAATGATGGCTGTCATTGGTGACATCAGATGGATCTTGGGCTAAAAGATGAAAATACCAAAAAGATGTTTACTTGTGATTTTTCACTATTTAAAGGCATTTGACTGTGCGGATCCCAATAAACTATGGATTACGTTGTGAAGAAGTGGTCTTCAGGAACACTTAATTGTGCTAATGAGGAACCTGTACATAGGCTAAGAGGAGGCCTTTTGAACAGAATGAAGCGATACTGAATGGCTTAAAATCATGAAACTTATGTGCCAGGGTTGTATCCTTTCACCATACTTATTCAATCTATGCTGAGCAAATAATCTGAGAAGATGGATTATATGAAGAGGAACATGGCATCGGGATTGAAGGAAAACCCATTAACAACCTGCACTATGCAGATAACACAACCCTGCTTGCTGGAAGCAATCAGGACTTAAAATACTTATTGAAGATCAAAGACTACAGCCTTTAGTATGGATTGCACCACTATGTAAAGAAAGCAAAAATCTCCACAACTGGACCAATAAATAACATCATCATAAATAGAGAAAAGATTGAAGTTGTCAATTTCACTTGGGTCCACAATCAACATGCAAGGAAATAGCACTCAAGAAATCACATGATGTATTGCATTAGGCAAATCTGTTACAAAAGACCTCTATCATGTGTTAAAGAGCAATGATGTCACTTTGCAGTCTAAGGTACCCCTGACCCAAGCCATGACATTTTCTATCACCTCATAAGTATGCGAAAGTTGAGTAATAATAAAAAGACCCTAGAAGAACTGATGCATTTGAATTATGGTGTTGGAGAAGAATGTTGAAAGAAGAATATTACAAAGGTGGCCAACAGCTGGCTATAGCAGAAGGAAGAAATCTATCTTGGAAGAACTACACCCAGAATGCTCCTCAGGAGCAAGGATGGTGAGACTTTCTCTCGTGTGTTTTGGACATATTGTCAGTAGGGACCTGACAACATGCTTGATAAAGTGGAGGGTCAATTAAAAAGGAGATAGATTGACATAGTTGCAGCAACAATGGGCTCAAATGGTGTAACAATTGTGAAGATGACAGAGGACCCAACAGTGTTTTGTTCTGTTGTGCATAGGATCACAATGAGTCGGAACCAACTCAACCACACCTAACAACAACACCACCAAGGAATAGTGGTTCCATGCAGGTCATAAAGTGTGTGCCCCTCCCGTGTGGAATAGGGCACAGAAGTGAGAGGGGAGCCCTGGGTGCAGGGCCTCCTCCTGTTGTTGTTCCCAGGTATAAGACCATGTTGCTCAGCATCATCCTACCCCTCATCTTTGCCGTGTTTCTGCTCCTCTTGGTGGCGGCCTCACTCCTGGCTTGGAGGATGATGAAGCAACAGAAGAAAGGTAAGTGGTCTGTGTGCACCTAGGTGGGGACTGGGGTGGGTCAGAGTGTGTGGGGCTGACTGCTGGTGGTGGTAGCCAAGATTATCTTCCCCAAAGGATTCCCCATGTGATCTGCAAGGGGCACTGCTGCAAAGGTGGCCAGCAGCTGGCTGCCTCAGAGCCTGGGGGGATAGGCCTGGAGCTTGTAGGTGAATCCCAGGGAGTTTGGGTACTAGTAGCCTGGTCTGTACATCACTGCCTGGTCTTCTTTTGGACCCACCTCCCTCTATTTTCCAATCTCAGTTCTTGTTGGCAGTGGTGACAGTGGCCTTAGGCAGACCACTCACTCTAGGATTGCCTAGGTACTTCAGTAGACTCTGTGAGGTTGCTAATGAAGTCCTGAGTCAATATGGAGGCAGGGAGGCACACATTCATACACACACACACACACACGTGCATATACACATATGTGTACTTGTGTTTTTTTGTTGTCCCTAAAGCAGGGGACATGGGGGAGGTGGCAGGGGAGAGCCAGAGAGCAGAGAAATATAGGAGTCAGCAGCAACCTTAAAACCAGGCCATGCATCATGGTCAAATGGCATAACATTGTCCAGAAAGACACTATTCTACATCCTACTGTGGTGAGTAGTGACTGGGATCTTAAAAGCTTATGAGTGGCTATCTAAGATGCAACTATTGGTCTCTCCCTGTCTGGAGGAAAGAAGGGTGATGAAAATCGAAGACAATTGGAAACAGTTAGTCCAATGGATCAATGGTAACCACCCTGAGATTAGAAGTAGATGGACTCTGGCTACCACTACCAACTGCTCTGAAAGGGATTACATTAGAAGATTCTGGATAGAATATAGAACAAAACTCAAAACCATAAAAGGGGCCAGTTTTACTGGTCAGATAGAGACTCGTGGAACCCTGAGACTATGGCGCTTGGTCACCCTTCAAGTCTGGAACTGAACTCACCCCTGTGTCTCAGTTTTCAGCCAAGCAGTAGACATATAGGTAAACGGGGAGAGGCTGATTGGGTTACCAGTGAGGTACACACACTACAGAATGGTCAATAATTTGAGATCAAAAGAAAAGGATTTGCCCAAGGACAAAAGTGAGAAGGCTTGGGATGGAAGCAGGAAACAGAGAGGAAGTGAGATTAATGGTGTTGCACTGAGGGCAAGGTACACAATGAGATGAAGCAAAGTGTATGATTTGTTGAATATAAAATATAAATATAAAACAAATGGTCTGCTCTGTAAGCACAGAAAGTTAAAAAAAGACACAAAACACAACAAAAATCCAGCCCTTATTGTGTCATTTAGGGGGGTGGTTTGAAGTGGTCTCTGTTTTTGTAATGGCTTCATTGCCTGGGAATCCATGTGTCAGCTTCAACCAAGCCCTGGGGTACAAGGAAGGTCTGACGTATCCACTCAGCCACTCACAGCCCACTGAGGATGAAGTGGCACTCAGTGGGGTGGATGTGATGAGGAGACAGTGCCATGTGGATAGCTGGGGAAGGAAGGTGACTGACAGGGCTGCCCCCCAGTCAGTTGGGGGACAGATGGGATGAGGTCTCTGGGGATCCCAGAGAGGGTGAGACTGAAGTCACATAGCGCATCATCTCAGGAGTCAGAATTAGAATCAGGTTTCCGATTTCTGCATCTGGAGTCCAATTCACTTTTTTCCTTCAGTATTTCTTTTCCTCAGACATGGGGATCCCTGAGTGTTTTGGGGATGGGTTTTCTAATCCTAGCTTGTGTTTGTCTTTCAGCTGCTGAGACATCCCCAGAGCAGGTAGGAGTTCTGAGACCCAATCAGAGACCACCTGGCTCTTTCCCTCCTTCCGCATCCCTGTTCTCCCAAGAGCATGGAAGTCCCAACCGTGTGTCAAATCTCATGTCTTCCATATCCTTCAGGACCTGGAGAGGCGGGTCCTGGGAACAACCCTAGGGGAGGAGGACTGGAAGGGATGGGTGTGAGAGACTTGCTGAGGAGTGGGGGGAGAGGGAGGAGGAACAGGGAAGAGAGAGGCCCATGGGTCTCAGCAGAGGAGCCACCTGTACCTTGTTTCCTCTCTCACGTGTTCCAGACCCTGGAAGACATCTTCTATGCAAACCTGACCCTGCACCATACTGCCACCTCCCAGGCTTCCTCCAAGAAAAAGGTGTCCGCCAAGTTTACCCCCACTGCCCAGGACCAAGAGAAAGAAGTGGAATACATCACCATGGTATGTACTCAGCAGTGTGTAGCCCTTTGATCAACCAGGCAAAGCTACAACCACTGAAGGACCTTATTGTTGTTGTTGTTAAGTGCCATTGGGTCGGTTCCAACCCATAGTGCCCTTGTACAGGGTTTCTGAGACTGTAAATCTTTACGGGAGCAGAAAGCTTCATCTTTTTCCTGTGGAGCGGCTAGTAGTTTCGAACTGCTGACCTTAAGGTTCACAGTTCGATTTGTAACCACTATGCTACCAGAGCTCCTTAAGGAGGATCTTACTAGGTTCTTGGAAATGTCTGTGTACCAGGTCTCAGCACTGGAGATCTGAGAGCCAATCAAACACGGTCTGTGTGCTGGGCAGGAGCACCCAGACCTGCTGAGGAACCCACGATTTTACCCCGAAGTACTGCCCTGCCAGTGGAGTTGAAGGAGAGATTTTCTCTATGGCTGGAATTCAGGGTGTTTGGCTGAGTGAAGGGAAGAGACATTGGAGGGCTGGGGGCTGATTTCAGCAGTCCTGGAGGATCTGTCTAGTCCTCTATGGAATCTGCCAGCCTCTCTGACCCTGTGGTCATCTCTGTTGCAGGCCCCCTTGCCGAAGGAGGAGATTTTCTATGCTACTCTGTCTTTGGACAACTCAGATCAGGAGCTGACCTATAGCAATATAGATCATTTGAACACTCACTTTCCTATGGTGAGCCACGAGGAGCCCACAGAATACAGCATCATCACAAAATCTTAGCAACTACTCAAAGTTCCCTCCTGGACCTTACCGGAGACTCACCATGGCCAGCATACCTGCCTTCACCAGGACCCATAGTGACTGAGGCCAGTCAGTGTCATCTCCAGCCTGAGCTCTGACTCAGACTCAGAAACTTCTGGGAGTCAAACACGAATCTCTCCCCATTCTCTCCAATCCCATACTGCTTTGGGGGGTGGGAGGGGCTGAAGGGATGCTCTGGGCTGCCTTGGGAATCATAATGATTATGGTAATAATAATAAGAGGTAACCTTTATTTATTGCTTACCTATATGTTGTTGTTGTTGTTAAGTGCTGTCGAGTCGGTTCCGACCCATAGCGACCCTGTACAGTGGGCTGAATAATGATGACCACCCAAAGAGATCCACATCTTAATTTCTAGAATTTATGAATGTTATCTTATATGACAAAAGAGCCTGTGACTAATTTAAAGATCATGAAATGGGACAATTATCCAAGATTATCAAGGTGGGTCCTGAATGTAATCACGAGGTAAGCAGGTCAGTGGAGAAGGTGATGTAAGGATGGAAACCTAGACTGGAGCGATACAGCCAAGAGCCAAGGAATGAGCAGGAAAAGACAAGGAATGGATTCTCCCCTGGGGCCTCCAGAAAGAACTAGCCCTCCTGGCACCTTGACGCTAAACCCAGTGAAATGAATTTCAGATTTCTAGCTTCCAGAACTGTAGGAAATAAATATGTTATTTTAAGCCACTAAGTTTGTGGTCATTTTTTTTACAGCAGCCATTGGAAACAGACACCATGTGCCAGTTTCTCTTTCTTGCTATACTTTGCATATGTGTGTATGGTAGGAGTACAGAGTTAGAGTTAGAATTATGGCTAGATCTAGGTTAGGCCTAGGACTTGGTTTAATGTTATGGTTATAGTTAGGACTAGGTTTAATGTTAGGGTTTAGAGGTTGGGTTAGGGCTAAGAGTAAGGCTTGGGCTAGTTTTAGTGTTATAGTAGGTTTATTTATTGATTTTAAAGTTTTTATTGTGAATTGAGTGCAAGTTTACAGGGCAGATCATCAGTTTTACATTCAACAAATCATACACCTTGTTTCATTACAATGAAACAGTTAACAGTATTTCTCTCTATTCATTTTAGCTTTTTTTTTTTTTTTAAACATTCAGGCACATTTAATAATTTAAACCACTAAAGGGCACATTCGGCAAGTCTGCCTCCTGGCCACCAGCTCTCAGTCCCTCTCTTTCCATGAATCTAGAGTCCTCGGCTGCTCCCTCTCTCCATGTCCCCATCTTTGCTTCCATCTCTGGTATTGCTGCAGCAGATTTGCCTAATGCATTGCATAGTTTGATCTCTTCATTGCTGCTTCCATGAGTGTTGATGGTGTTGTTGTTGTTAAGTACCGTGAAGTCGGTTCTGACTCATAGTGACCCTGCACAGAGTTGATAGTGGATCTAAGCAAAATGAAGTCTTTGACAACTTCAATCTCTTCTCCATTTATCATGATGTTAATTATTGATACAGTGGTGAGGATTTTTGTTTTCTTTACATTGAGGTACAACCCATACTGAAACCTATGGTCTTTGATTTTCATCAGTTAGTATTTTAAGTCCTCTTTGATTTCAACAAACAAGGTTGTATCATCTGCATATTGCAGGTTGTTAATGAGTCTTTCTCCAACTCTGATACCGGTTCTTCTGCATATAATTCAGCTTCTTAGATTATTTGCTCAACTTACAGATTGAATAAGCATGGTGAAAGAATACAACCCTTTCCTGATTTTGAGCCATTCAGTGTCCCCTTGTTCTACTAGAATGACTACTTCTTGGTCTATGTACAGATTCCTCAAGAGCACAATTAATATCCCTTCTCCACAATGTTGTCCATAGCTTGTCATGATCCACATAGTCGAAAGCCTGTACATAGTCAATAAAGCACAAGTAAACATCTTTCTGGTATTCTCTGCTTTCAGCTATGATCCATCTGATGTCAGAAATGATATCCCATGTTCCCTATCTTTGTCTGAATTCGGCTTGAACCTCTGGCAGCTCCCTGTTGATGTACTGTTGTAGATGTTTTCAAATGATCTTGAGCAAAATTCTTTTGCATGTGATATTAATGATATTCTCTGATGATTTCCATATTCCATTGGGTTACCTCTTTTTGGAATGTGCACAAATATGGATCTCTTCCAATCAGTTGTCCAGGTAGCTGACTTCCAAATTTCTTGGCAGAGATGAGTGAGTGCATCCAGTGTTGCATCAGTTTGGTGAAAGATTTCAATTTGTATTTTATCATTTCCTGGACCCTTGTTCTTTGTCAATACTTTCAGTGTACCTTGGACTTCTTCCTTCAGTATCACTGACTCTTGTTCATATGTTGCTTCTTGAAATGGTTGAACATTGACCATTTCTTTTTGGTCCAGTGACTGTGAATTCCTTTCATCTTCTTTTGATGCTTTCTGCATCATTCAATATGTTGCCCATAGAATCCCTCACTATTGCCAGTAGAGGCCTGAATGCTTTCTTCAGTTCTTACAGTTTTGTGAAATGCTGAGCATGTTCTTCCCTTTTGGTTTTCTAACTCCAGGTCTTTGCACATTTCATTATAATATTTGACTTTGTCTTCTCATGTTGCCCTTTGAAATTTTCTGTTCAGTTTTTTTTAACCTCCTCATTCCTTCTATTTACTTTAGCATCTCTATGCTGGATAACAAGTTTCAGAGTCTCTTCTGACATCCATTTTGGTCTTTTTCTTTTTTCTTGTCTTCTAAATGACCTTTTGCTTTCTTTCTGTATGAAGTTCTTAATGGCATCCTACAACTCTTCTGATCTTTAGTCATTAGTGTCTAATGCATTAAATCGGTTTTTGAGATGATCTCTAAATTCAGGTTGGGATATATTCAAGGTCAATGTGGTACCTTGAAATGACTTGATATGGCTTTTCTATCCAAAGTCTTCTTAATTTCACTAAGTGACTGGATGGGTCCAAATAAATAAGGTATGCAGGACTCTAAGGTTGGGGTTGGGTAGTTTTTTTGCCCTCCAGTTAGGTTTAAAAGGAGCCATTTCAGAAGCTTGAATCACCATGTATCTGAATAGGCTGTATGACAATATGTCTCTCTCTCTCTCTTTATATATATATACATATGTTGTTGTTAAGTGCTGTCGAGTCAGTTCTGACCCATAGCCGCCCTGTATAGGGTTTCTGAGGAGCAGCTAGTGGATTTTAACCACTGACCTTGAGGCTCAAACTGATCTTGCTGTCCAGCACATTATCCTGCAGCGCCACACCAGGACTCCCGTATTTATATATGTTGTTGGTAAGTCCAATGGAGTAAATTCTGACTCAAAGTGACTCTGTGTAGGGTTTCCAAGGTTGTAAGTCTTTGAGGAACTAGAAAGTCTTACCTTTCCTACTCTCTGTCTCTATTTTTTCTTAAATCAATGTGTCCTGGGATTTACCTGACCTCTCTCACAGCTTTGAGCATCCCAAGTAGAGCAGAGGGAGGTGGCATCAGTGATGGACAGCCCAGCATGCTGCTGCTGCTCTTTGCTCCTCATCTCATGCCCCTAGAGATGACTTTAGAAACATAATAACCTTCCCATCCTGGGGGTATTTGCAAAGTCAAAGGTGGTCATTTAAGCTGGTCAGATCTGAGTGAGACTTTTTGACTCAGGCTGTTTTAAGATTTATGGAACAAGAAGTAAATGAGAAAAACAAAAATCAAAGCAGAGTAAAATTAGAGTGAATTGAAGTATAAAAGTCAGAACATAAAACCCTGAACCAGTGACTCACAGTGCCATATATCTATTGTGTATAAAGTTGCTTTATGTCTGAGTTTTTAAGCAGTCAACATCAAACAGAATCTGTAAGTACATGCTTATGTTGGAATGCTAAAACCAGAAAACAACAATGAAACCAGTTGCCAATGGGTTCATTTCAGTTCTTGGTAGACTCAATGGCACCTAAAAATATCAACAAATGTGCTACAAAGCAGAACTGCTCCATAGGATTTTCTTGACTAATCATCAGGGATCCAGATTGTTAAGTCTTTCTTTGGTGGTGCCCCTGGGTTGTTTTAAACTGCCACCCCTCATGTTGGATAGGAGCTTATTTTTTTCTGGTTAGGCGCTACCATTAATACTGATGATGATGATTGTCAAGAAACATTTGGTGGAATCTAGAAAGACAGAAGAGGCTCTGGTCAGCTAGAAACGGGTGGGACTCTTGAGACTATGGACCTTGTTGTTGTTGTTAAGTGCCATCCAGTGGGTTCCAACTCATAGTGACCCTGTATAGAGTTTCTAAGGAGCAGCTGGTGGGTTTGAACCACTAACCTTGAAGTTAGAAGTTCTTTTAACAGTATAGTGCCACATCATGGACTACCAGAAGAACAAACAAATCTGTGTTGGAAGAAGTAAAGCCAGAATGCTCCTTAGAAGCCATGATGACCAAACTTCATCTCTCATACTTTGGACATATTATCAGAAGGGACTAGTCCCTGGAGAAGGACATCATGCTTGGTAAAGTGGAAGGTCAAGGAAAAATAGGAAGACCCATCTTGGGTTGGCTCAGTGGCAGCTGAAATGGGCTCAAGTGTAACATCCTCAAGTGAGGATGGCACAGAACTGGGGCATGTTTCGTTCTGTTGTGTGTAGAGTCGCTGTGAGATGGAACCAACTCAGTAGCACCTAAGAACAACAACAAAAGATAGGGAAGGCTAGAATGTAATTCAGGTTGGCTTGGCTAGAGGAGTCTGACTGCTTCTGAATTTATCAGGATAGTGGATGTGGGATGGAAATGGAAGTTTCTGGCAGCCTGGCTGAGCTGAGGAAAGCATCTTATCAAGACTGATCCACTCTGATCACTTTTGATTGTCTGAGTCCAGCTTTAAAAAATGGTGTTTACAAGCCAGATGCATTGTTGGAAATAATGCATGAATCTAAAATCTGGCCATGAGGTGGAGTAGCCTATTGTTGAGAACCGGCCTCGACATAGGGGTTTGGTTCAC